CCTTCAGGGTGGGTGTGGTAGTGGGTGTCAGCTTAACTCAGGACAAGAACCACACCTACACCTACACTCACACCCACACCCACACCCCACACCCCACACCCACACTCACACCCACACCCACACCCACCCTTGTACATTATATGAAATAACTTATCTATCAATCATCTTATTTTCTGAACTATGTCGATACAATATACCAAAAGATTACAAATATTCGCTAATGAAAAAGCGAAAATAAACTCAGTTTTATGTAAAACTGATTTTTTTAAATATGTAATTCTAACCATATCTTTAACTACAGATAAATCTTTTTTGCTCGTGCTTTGTAAGCTCAATCAACTCTTAACAAGTGTGGTATTACAGATTGAATTCACATATAATTTATGTATTTTATTTCGTATACACTCACAACGCTCTTGAAAGCGATGTGAACTTTACAAAAAGTCCTCAGCATCGAATGAACGATTGAATGTGCTGCTTATATTTATACTTCTTTTCTTTCCTTCTCCAAATCTATTTTTCTTTTCTTCTTTTCCTCTTCTGACTATATTTCCCGTTTTCTTCCTTTCCAGTTCTGAGCATATTTTTCTTTTCTTCCCTTTTCCTTCAGTGGATGGATGTGGTTGTGGGTGTGGGCGAGATGTGGATGGAGTGTGGGTGTGGTTGTTGGTGAAGAAGCCAACAACCACACTCTTTAGTTTGTCGGCGTACGTCGACCGAAAGGAGAGGGCAAGACTTAGCTCAGGAAATCTAGCTTTGACTGTATTTCTAAAAGACAAATTCCAAGAAAAATGAACGATTTTCTCAACAAAGTTATTTTTCACATTTTTTTTGTCTATATTTCATGCTGATTTATTGGAAAGGGGCAAAATAAATAAAGAATAGTTCATAATCTTGATCCTCAATTGATAATCTAATGAGAAAAGCATACGATCACTTATAGTAAGGATCCATGATAGCATGAAACGCAATACTAAAATGCCCACAGAATATTATGTTATTGTATATGGTTAGTAGTGGCAGATGTATAGAAACATACATGTTTTATGGAATCTGATTCTGATAGTCTATATTGTAGCAATCAAAGTATTCAAGCTTTCAAGTCAAGCCCAAGTTTTCTCAAGCTCAAACTGTTTGACAACCAAGCTTATCAAGTCTAAACTCTAAGCTTAAGGTTGAGCTTGAAAAGCTTGAAATTGGTGCGTTTCTACATGACACACTTCAAAATATCAATAGAAACATTATTTGCTCACTATCAGTTCAGGTTATGTTTACTATTTCTGGATGATTCATAGATGGATTTGTACAGAATGTTCTGCTCTTTCAAATGAGATTATTTATAGCCAGGCGAACAATTTTTTTTCACAAACTTATTGTCAAAATACTGTTGTATGGATTCGGTAAAAATATAGTCTAGTAATCTGCATTAAAGTTCATCGGATCACTTCCCGAATGGATTGAATTTGATTTCAAATGATTTGTCGTTTCATTCTGCATCCATACATATATATATATATGCTTCTTGTCAGAATCCCAAGGTGGATCGATTCGTCCTCTTTTGCGTTCCCGTTCTTTGCATTGAATATATATGATAGAATTGAAATTCTTCAAGACAATAATAGAAAAATCAATAAAAATACCATTTTATCAACAAAATTTCACATATGAAGATAAACATTTATTTTCCTATGGATTATTATCTAACTACAGTATTGGAAAGAATTCAATTGTTCTGTTAAAATAGTTTCTACCAATGATGATACTTTTACATTGGAAAGAAAAATATCTTTAGAAAAAAAATATTTTTTTTTTATTTAAAAAAAGAATTTGAATATTTCTAAGATAAACATGAACTATTATTAAACTAGTTGAACATCGTTTGATAGATGTTCAATTTTATTTGGAATATGCGATTTTCCAACATTTTATAGAACAAAATTATCAATCTGCTGATTGTGAAGATACAACAAATTATACCAATACATCATAAGAATGTTCAAATATCATTATCTATCAAATTACGTAATCTTAAACTTAGAATTGCAGATTTTGTATTTATTCATGGTAAAAGACAACTTTTCTAAAAAATTTTTTTAGTGATTACTGACGATCGAAGACCTTCAATTCTTTTAGGATTGATTGTCAAGGAAAGTCATCGTATATACACTGTAAAATTGAAATTAACTAAATGATATAACATTATTGATATTAACAGCGAAGTATTATTTGACAAATTGTTCTACTCTTATGAACAGACATATGTATCGGATAGCGAATACATCACTAATATCGAAATAGATCAACTCACCTTAAAAACTTAATCACCTTCATCGAATCTCATTGATTTAAATGCAGTTAATTTCATGAATGTTATAGACACTGATCATAATGATGTAATAAATCAAAAATAACGCTTCTCTTCTAAAAAAATGTTCTCATAATTACAAAATGTTTTTTCAGAAAACATTAAATATCGAAAGGTTGATATTTTCAGTATACATAAGAACACAAACATCATGAAAAACAAATTAATCAAAAGCTTAATTTATTAAAATATTGAAATTAATAAGAAAAAATATTTATTTGAGATTAGGAATGAATAAATCGTAACTAACAAATTGTCTTCCATCTCTGTGTTTATGTGCACTTTCTAACCAAAATCGAATTCCCAAATCATTACTTCCAAGTTGTCGTTGATCTGTTTCAATTTGTTCATGACATAGTTTTTGATGAGAATGAGAATGAATCGGAGATTGTTGACTACCTTTACCTTGTTGATTAGAGGTTGGACCTAAAGTGGCTGGTACAACAAGGTTATCTGTGGATGGAAAACAATGAAGACATGATGTTTGAACAACAGTAACAATTGATGAGATTATATTTGAGCAGTGTTCGAAATAACACCAATTTCGATTCGGACAAAATTTTTTATAAAATGCTTTCTTTCCATTTTCTGGTCTTCGTTTAAAAAAATCAATGAATTCTTCTTCAGTATTTTCGATTGGATTCCATTTAGTTTTAAAATGATGAGCAACACGAATGGCCATTTTTGATGGAGGCATATTAACAATTGCAGATGAGATAATTTGATACATTAATCTAGTATCATTAATTGGTAATGGTCGATAAGATCCTCTAGTTTGAAATCGACCAACGCCACAACAATGAATATCACCACTAAAATAAGTGATTCGAACTTTTTTCTGTTGAGAAATTTGTTGAAAACGAAGAAGAGCACGATTTCGTTCTTCAATATGATCTTTATGAGTCCATTCATCGAGAAGATCATCATAAAGTTCAGGTAAACCAAAAATTGAATTAGTTTGTTTAACAAGTGGAAGTCTTCGCCATTTATTCGGAAGATTTTTTAGACGTTCATTAATCGATTCAGCGATATGAACACGAATGAATGAAAACGGAACAGGAAATAAAGCAATTAAATGTTCAACATCGTCCAAGTTATTTTCAAGTTTATCAAAGATCATATCCCAAGTTTTTTCGTGTTGAACAGTTTTTGTATCACGTTCAGTCCGTCCATCAACACCAATTATTGCTAAATATCGACCACAACGAGCAAAAAAATTATATCCTTGATATCCAAACATTTGATGTTCTCGAGCTTTTTCCAATGTAGTATGATGTTGAAAAAGAAGTCGCATTTTTTGTGCTGACAGAAATAATCCCATCATAACTGGACTATCGTGAAGTAAAGGAGGATAACATCCTGCTCCATCGAAAATATCATGATCATCCCACATCATTAAACTCGGAATTGATGTTAGAGCTTTTTTTACTTCAGGACGACAATCCCAATTTTCTGCATAAGTATTAAAATGATATTGTTCAACTTGTTTTTTTAAATCATCTCGAAAATCAGTCGTCCATCTTTCATTCCATTCCATATTAATCCAAGCACGAAGGAATGGAATATCATCAAAAATAAAATCAATATAATTTTGATCACCTCCCCATAATAACAGATGTAATGAAGTTTCTTCATGAATTGAAAGAAGATGATTCCAAACATTAGAATAAGTAAAATTTGATGCTACTTGTTCTGGAACATATGCATCAAATCCATTACATGAGAAGAAACCTCCACGCTGTGCCGATATAAGCACTCGCTCTATCTTAATTAATGTACATAACGACTCTTTTCTCTATACACACTGATAATATCTATTATGTGTTGAAATTCATCTATCCTGTTTGACATGTGTCTCTCTTCCTTTTTGTCGTGTTCTCTTCCCTTCTCTCCGGTTGATTGACGTGCCCCGAAGCAGGGGAATGTAACTATAAAAGGAGAAGAATTNTTTTCTATACAAAAAAAGTCGATTCTCAAGTGACTAATTGTCATAATTATCGTAGTTTTCTTTACATGAGTTCAACCCACGAAAATTATTTATCATATCCATACTTCAAACAATATACCCTTATACCAAGTATGAACGAACCATCGTTCATTTTATATTTTCCTTCATAATGCTCGAAACATTTCTATTTATTTCTAACTTACCTCTAAGTGCTAATAAATGCTATAACATAGTTTATAAATATCAATTTTCATGAATAAAAGAATAAAGCGACATAAATATTTTCTATTTGTTTTGTTAAACATGCCAACTTAATCGAAATAATAATCATTTCAACCAAATAAAATCTAATGAAACAATGAAAAAATTACAAATTAACTGATAACTCGACTAGTTTTAACTTCAACATTGATGTAGTACATTGTACATGTTTAGAATTTGTCAAAAGACAACCTAATTGGAATGAATGACACTCCAAAAGTACATTTATGAAGAAGATTAGTTATAATAGATCTACTATAAATAAAGACATTGATAGGAAAACAATAGATATCTCTCAGTGACAATGCCTTTCAACTGTTTGAAAACGAAGTTTTCTCATGATCTTACTTGTTTTTTTTTGATAGGCGAGAAAAATGAACTAGAAGAATCAAATGCGTTAATTTCATTTTACTTTAATAAACATTTTTCATTCATTTCTAAAGTATTGTAAATCTATCTTAACAAACGAAAAACAAGAAGTGGCTAGAATTTTTAAAATAGATAATACTAGTCCTTGTAGACTATGATGAGACTGATTGAATTGTATTAAACAAGCATCATTGTAAATTATAAAATAGATTTCAGAAGATTTAATTTATTAAGTAATATTGTTTTTTTATGCACAAGAAGGAGTTTGAAGAATATGGTATAGATGTGCATAATTTGAACAACGATATGAAAATCATGTTAAAATTCTGACAATTATTCTTGTGATATGAATAAATCTGGGAATAACAAAAGTTCATTGATGATAAAATGAATTTTTCTTGGATTTGTATGCTTTTATATTCCAGAAATCTATCACTTTTGTGTCATGTGCATAGAAAGAAAAACATTCAAAGAATTTATGAAATGAAAATAATATCAATGTTCGTTTCTGGAACGACATCGGATTAGAAAAGAATCAAGTTTTTCTAGTCTGAGTTCTATTCAATTTTCACATGAGAAAAGAGTTATTACTTTGTTTTTCACTTGATTGATTCATTTGACACGTAGATCTTTAAATGAAACTAATCTGTAAACCTCTTTGATACAAAATATGAAACTATTATAAGGGTGTTAGCAAAGCATACACCCACATTCTTCCTGGATATAGATTATATATATATATAAGGGATAGTCTTGTAAGTCTAATTAATAGAAAAAGATAAAGTTTTTCTTACATAGAATTTATAAATAATATATATATGAATAATCTTGTAAATTTAGAAAAAAAGAACGGATAAAATTTTTTTTTGATAATAAGTAATGCATATACATGCATATATATAGAGATATATAGCTGGTGTGCCGAAAAGTGATCAAACACGTCCGATATCGCTGCTAGCAACACATTCAAAAGTATTTGAAAAAATTCTACTCACAAGAATACGGGGATGGGCTGAACCAAATTATATATTANCCAAACACACCTTTTAGGCTAGAATACAATCCATGTACATAGGAAAAATAATCCTAAGTTATTTGAGTGTATCGATGAAGCTATAATGTTTACTGCTTTTTTGGCTGAAGGGAAAAAGAGCTAACTATTGATTATTGTATTTGTGTACTCTTGTGAATGTATAATCTATTTACAAAAAGAACTTTCAATATTCATCATGTTCAGTAGAGTAACTTTATCAAATACTAACGGCAATTATTTTTGCACTCCACTGTATATGTACATAATAACATAATCCAATTTCATGATAAACATCTGTACAATAAAGTTTTGATCAAAATAAAAAAAAAGAAATGTATTGAATTCAAATTAAGATAAAAATAAACACATCATGTATTTAATACTTGACAATGATCATCATTATCATATTCTTGTAGATATATATCAAACAAAATAATATCAATATCTTCAATTTATTGAAAAATAAATCTAATTTTTCTTCAATATGAATACTTACCTAGTATATGATTTATATAATATTTTTTGCAAATATTGTTTTTACTCTCACATATTTTATCATTTGATGATAATAAATAAATTATAATACGATCTGCATAACAATCTTCATTATATTAAAAATCATGAAAATGTTTTTTCATTTTAAATAAATTATTGTAAATTTTGGTATTATATAATAATTTTCTTTATATTTTACATTTAATTATTGTTTCAACTTTTTATATATCATTATTTTTATCTGATAAAAAAAATAAATTTTTAGATATTTTAACTAATCTTTGAATTGAATCATTACCGACAAATATTGATTCACTTTTAATAGAATTAAAACATTTACCATAAAATATATATTTATAATCAGATAAATTTATTCATTATGATTCTGAATTGTTATAATAATAACTATCACGTGGTATTTAATAATATTATTGATAACTATAACAAAATATAACTTGTGCTAAATATATATATTGATGACTACAATAATAATTCAATGTTTTGTACAACAGAACCAATAGTTTCATCAAATATTGCAAATAATTTTCTATACATTTAATAAATACTTGTGGATTTTTTTTTAATTATAAAGTCATGCATTAATAAACATAAATCAAGGGTCATTAGAGAATTCTAATGATATTTTATATATTTTTTACGTAATAATTTATTATCTATGATTAATGTATTCATTGAATGTTTAATTATAATTGAATAATCAAGAATATTAAATGCAATAGAATTGAATGAATGTAAATCTTCATAAGAAATGAATAATTGATTTAAGATGTGCAAAAAATTTAGAATTTTTTAATATCATATCAACATTTGTTTGATGATTATCAATCAGATTTAATTATAACTATTGTTGATATCAAATTTATTGGTATATGTGAATAATTACGTCATTTTGAATTGGGTATTTATAGAATTCGAGAGAGAGAGGTCGCCAGTCTTCTATTTTGGAATAAAAACGAAAATAAATGTAAATAATTTTTCTTTTTTGATTGTTGAAAATGTTGATGACTAAATTTATAAAAGGTATTTATTCAAAAAATTATTAAAATTTTCTTTTTCAAGTGAATAGATTTTTGTTAGACTACATACTGTGAAACTAGCCGAATCGAATTGTTTAGTCGGAAGAAAATATTGATTCTATTGAATAATAACTCATTAAACAATAGATATCATAATATTCATAAATTACTATTAAAGAGAAACATAAAAGAAATAGATTTTGAAAATAATCGTTTTAGTAATGATTAAATGAAATACATTTTGTGTTTGACTTGTCTTTCCAATAATTGATAATTAATATTATTGTTTAATAATATAAGTTTTATTATCCACATATAAAAAAAAAAACGGACAAACAAGAACGATTTCAGTAACAATATGCAATAAAGAATAACATTTTTTCCATGATTTTTTCCAACAATATCAGAGAGAAAATTTTTGCTAACTTCTAAATGTCATCAATCGATACAGCTAGTTCAGTTCTTGAGGAAACTGATATTCATACTTTTAAAGACTCGGTCTGGATCCCTGAGGAATCTGTTTTTTTTTGAATATATGAAGGAATTGATTATGTGTGCACTGGACGTTAGTCATGTTTAGTTCAATCTTGGCAAGATGTAGTAATGCCATCTCGGGAAAATTAGAACACTTCAAAAGGCAAGTGAATCATTTCAATAAAGTACTCATCAATCACTAAAATGAATATTAAAAATATTCGTATACAATTCGCCATACATTTATTACAACCAAAACCAACACGATAAAATTTTATCAAATCAATCCAATTGAACATATTCACTATTTCAATCTTTTGCGCGTTTCATCATTTACTTCAAATATGTTTTCAAAATACAAAAACTCTCTCTACTTTATAATGATACCTTTCAACATCCAAATAACAACAGAATATTGAACATATCTCTAGAGCTATATGACATGAACATCAACTTTAGAAAAAAAAAAACTTCGTCAGAAATAATCACTTACCTTTAAAATATTCAAATATTCACCAACCGACATCAGTTCACCTAGTCAAGATTGAAATAAATATAATCAGCATACATATAATCAATTTCTTCATATATTCAGGAAAACAGATTCTTCAGGGACCCAGACGGAGTCTTTAAAACTGTGAGCATAATTTTTCTCAACAACTAAACTGGCTGCATCAATTGATGCCATTTAAAAGTTAGTACAAACTTTTTAATGATGATGTTAGTATTAATAATACTAGAGTGTATATGAATTTGTGTGGATCTCAGATAGGATGTTTTCAGGTGTGAACATCATTTTTCTCAATAGCTGAACGAGCTGCATCTGTTGATCCTATGTAGAAGTTCGCACAATTTTTTTTTAGTGATGATATTGGTATTAGTAATACTTTGACATGTATCCGTTTTTTGTTGGTCGCAGACAGTGTTAGTAAAGATGTGACCATCGTTTTCTCCATCAGTGAAACTAGCTGCGCCATCTGATAGCTTTATGTAGTTAGCAAAATTATGTTTTAGTGATGTCAGAGCTGGGCAAGTACGCACTTTCTCGAGTACGAGTACGAGTACTAACCTTCCGAGTACACTGTAGAAGAAAGACTGTTGGTACAATCCTTGCGGGATTAAAATGTGAAATACAATGCAGCTACTCTTTTTATTCGCAAACCTTTCATTTTAATTCATCTATTTTGCGGCAATATAAGTCACATTTTTACTTAGTTCTCCAGAAGTGGAATCAAAAAACAAATCATATATTATGATAATGCATTCTTGATGTACCATTTTTGATTATGTATCAAGAGCATCTTGCACAACTGGCAACAAGATCTCAGTTTGTTTCTCAGGTTCATCAACGAATGTGTTACTAATGGAATATTAATGAGATATTAATTATATATCAATTGATTAATTATTGAATTAATTAATAAAACTTTCTTTCATGATCTATGAAAGGAATGGAAAGATCGAGAGGCTTTACGAACCATTGGGCCACTCTCTAGGTTTTCAACGACCGATGTCATCCTAAAAATTTCAAATTGAAGCAAACCGCTAAGACTAAGAGTAATAAATCGGTCTATGAATATTTATCAGTCTATCAATAATTGCTGGTTTACCAGTGGTAGATTGATTGTCACAATAAAATTTAGTTTCCTAGGGAACTTTCACAAATTATCAACTTAGTTCACGAATCTAAAATATCTAAATATTTGTGTTGTAATATTCAATAAGTGATTTTCTTTTAAAAAAATCATAGTGATCGGAATATCAATGCATTACATTTAATTTGATTACATGGTTACTTTAGTTTCTATCATATTAATTTGCTGAGAAAATCTCGAAGATCTTGAAGAAACTTGGATTTTTAGAGTTCTTCTTCATCTGTACTCTGACTTAAAAATTAAGTATCCTGCTAGAATATACTGTCTTAAGCTTTGTTCAAGTGTTGTTATGAATATACGAATAACTTATAAGAAGAATCGAATAGACTTTGTTGGATATTTCGGATGAAAATCTTCGTGT